AAGTTGATAAGGGTGCTTAGGGAACACAAAAAGGTGATTAGATGGAGCATTGGCGACATTCAAGGAATAAGTCCATCAGTTTGCATGCACAAAATCTTGAGGAAGAAGGATTCAAGCCTATGGTGCAACCCCAAAGGAGGTTAAATCATAATATGAAAGAGGTAGTAAAGAAAGAGGTGATAAAATGGCTTGATTCAGGTATTATCTTTCTTATCTCTGATTCTTCTTGGGTAAGTCTTATGCAAGTTGTACCTAAAAAAAGGAGGGACCACTGTAGTCGAAAATGAAAATAATGAATTAATCCCAACAAGGACAGTAACAGGTTGGAGGGTATGTATCGACTATAGGAAATTGAATGATGCTACTAGAAAAGATCATTTCCCCCCCTTTATTGATCAAACCAATGCTCCTGAAGAACAAGAGTTACCTTTACATGCCCTTATGGAACATTTGCATTTAGGAGAATGCCTTTTGGTTTGTGCAATGCCCTGCTACTTTTCAAAGATGCATGATGTCTCTATTTTTAGATTTCATTGATGATTTTATGGAGATATTTATGGATGACTTCTTTGTTTTTGGATCTTCATTCGATGCATGCTTGCATAGTTTGTCTTTGGTGCTTAAAAGATGTGAGGAATCTAACCTTATTCTTAATTGGGAAAAATGTCATTTTATGGTTAGGGAATGAATTGTTTAAGGCCACAAAGTATCTTCTAAAGGTACTGAAGTGGATAGAGCTAAAATTGAATTAATTGAAAAACTTCCTCCTCCAAAATCATTGAAAGAAGTTAGATGTTTTTTGGGACATGCAGGTTTTTATAGGAGGTTCACTAAGGACTTTTCTAAAATTGCTAGGCCTTTAACTAATTTTTTAGTGAAAGACGCACCTTTTGTGATTGACAATGCTTATTTACATGCATTTAATTGTTTAAAAGAGAAATTGATCCAAGCCCCCATAGTTTCGGCCCCCATGTGGAATTTGCCTTTTGAGATCATGTGTGATGCAAGTGATGATACTTTAGATGCAATTTTAGGACAAAGAATAGACAAGAAATTTCATACCATTTATTATGCAAGTAGAACCATGAATGATGCACAAAGAAATTATACAACAACTGAAAAGGAACTACTTGCTGTAATATTTGCTATTGAAAAATTTAGACCTTATTTGATCTTATCTAAAGTGATTGTTTATACTGACCATTCTGCATTGAAGTATCTACTTGCTAAAAAAGATGCAAAACCTAGGTTGTTAAGATGGATTTTATTATTGCAAGAATTTGACCTAGAGATCAAAGACAAGGCATCGAAAACATGGTAGTTGATCACTTGTCTAGATTGGACGGGGAGTATGTGGAGAGCATGGATGAACACCCTTTGCATGATGAATTTCCTAAAGTGAAATTATGTTTTGTGCATGATAATGATGAACCGTGGTATGCTGATTTTGCTAATTTTCTCGTAGGTGACGAGTTGCTCCCTAACATTTCTTTTCATCAAAAGAAAAAAATTTTATCTGATGTGAGGCACAATCTTTGGGAGGAACCGTATCTATACAAGATTTATGCAGATAGAATGGTGAGAAGATGCATACCAAAGGAAGAGATGCGGAGTATACTTAGTTTCTGTCATGACAAAGAAGCAGGGGGATAACATGGACCATCCAAGACGACGGAAAAGGTTTTACAAAGTGGATTTTATTGGCCTACCTTATTTAAGGATACTTATGCCTTTGTAAGTTATTGTGATCGATGCCAATAGATAGGTAATATATCAAGGAAAAATGAGATGCCCCTAAACAATATTCTTATTTGTGATATTTTTTATGTTTGGGGCATTGATTTCATGCGTCCTTTTCCAAAATCCTTCAATAATGAATATATACTTGTTGTTGTTGATTATGTGAGTAAATGGGTGGAAGCAATTGCATGTCCCACTAATGATGCTAAGGTTGTAATCAAATTCTTGAAAAAAAAATATTTTTACTAGATTTGGTACACCGAGGGCTATCATTAGTGATGAAGGTAAACACTTTTGCAATAAACAGTTTGATAATTTATTAATTAAATATGGTGTTACCCATAAGATTKCTACCCCYTATCATYCYYAAACTAGTGGACAAGTAGAAATTTCAAATAGGGAATTGAAAGGTATTTTGGAAAAGACTGTGAGCTTATCTAGGAATGATTGGTCAATGAAATTAGATGATGCGCTTTGGACTTATAGGACAGCTTTCAAACCACCTATTGGGATGTCTCCTTATAGGTTGGTGTTTGGTAAGACTTGTCACCTTCCTGTTGAATTAGAGCATAAAGCATACTGGGCTATGAAATTGCTTAACTTTGATTTGCAAGTTGCAGGTGAACAAAGAAAGATGCAATTGAATGAACTTGAAGAATGGTGGCACCAAGCTTATGAGAATTCTAGAATTTATAAAGAAAGAACCAAGGCATGGCATGATGCACACATTAAAAAGAAAGAGTTCGCAGTTGGGGATAAGGTTCTTCTTTATAATTCTAGATTGAAGCTTTTTCCTAGCAAACTAAGGTCAAGATGGAGTGGTCCGTAAATAGTGACTAAAGTTTTCCCTCATAGTGCAATTGAAGTATTTAATGAAACTAAGGGGACTTTCAAAGTCAATGGGCAAAGATTGAAGCCTTACATTGATGGTGGACATAATTCTTTCTTCAAATCCATCATTCACTTGAAGGATCCATGAAAATGGAAATAGAGTCAAGCTAACGACTATAACTTAGAACTATATTTTTCATTTATGCACTTTAGGATTTCTAGTTGTTTCATGTTTCTTTATTTCCTTTTAAGTTTTGTTTTAATTTGTGCTTTTCTTTGCTACTGTTGTTTTTCTTTTCTTTTGATTGATGAAAGGCAGGTTGCAATTTTGGAGTCTAGAGATATGAAATTTCAACATGTGCAGCTGAAACCAAGACCAACTCTTAGATCACTAGGCCCTATGAATTACTATGAAACCTTTAGTAAGGAACCTTTCGTCTCTCCCCTCTTCCACTGAATTCAATATCCCCTTCAATGTCCAAAATAAATCTCTTCACTTCTGATCTTTTCTTCTTTTCCCTATTCTTATTGACCTCAGTTGTCCTAGAAGGCTTTGCGATTCCTATTTCCATCTCCACTCTTTGGGGCTTACAGAAGGCTCTACACTTTTTGGAGTTATTTCCAGCAACTCTTCTTTCTGTTTGTATTCCTCCAACAACTCACAAATCTGCTCCCAAATCCTTTCTAACTCCTCCTGTAACTTCCTTAATAACAATTCTCTCTCCTTTGTTTCAAAAGGAAAAACTTCCTCACTTCCCTTTCTGTCACCTGTTTTTACTCGTTGTGATGCTGGGGTACCTGTTTCAGGCAAAGAACCCAGATTAGTACCCGAAAACAAGTGGACAAATGTACCCGGACCTGTTGGAGGTAAGTGAGAAGAGGGCTGAAGAGGGATTTGAAGTTTCCTCAGGAAGCTTCCCCTTCAACTGTCATTCTCTGTAATGTGACAGAGTAGGATGAATTCCCTCTTGACCAATACCATGAAGAGGCCGTGTTTCATGAATAAGCTTAGTTGTTAGAGGGGTGGTCTCCTGCTGAACCTCAGTAAGTGTTGCTAAAACCACCTAACCATTGTGCAACACACCATCTGGAGAAGGAGTAACCTGTAAGCAATCGTTGGAGCTCAACATTTTTTCATTCTCTTCTATTCCCAGACTAGACAAAGCCAAACCTTGTATTTTCTCCTCTTTGAATGGAAGCTCAGTATTCAAACAGTCTTTGTCTTCTATCAACATCTCCACCTCGAGATGTTGCCAAAACAGCAGCTATCTCTACCCAACCTTGATTGTTTTTTCCTTCAGAAAAACAGACCAGCTGCTTCCTACATTTGTTGAAGAACTCTTATAGGAAAATGAAAGAACCCTTTGCATTCCTTTTTCTTTCCACTACATACCTTCTAACAGTCTCTGAAAACTTTTCTTTCCATCTAACATGCTTCCCTTTAGCTGCAACTCCAGACACAAATGCTTTGAGCCAATCAACCATCTCTAGGCCTTCCACTAGAACCATGGCCGCCTTCATCTCCTTTATCTTCAGGCTACATCTTCCTTTGATCCACATCTCTTCGAAAAGAAAGTCTTTAGCCACAACCTTCAGAGCTGTCCTCCATCTTGTTGTCTCCACGAATCCTACCTCCATCTCTTCTCCACTAACTTGCCTTTTTTTAAATTCCGCTATTCTTCAACTATTAGCTTGTCTGTAAATTGTAATTATTTTAGATTCCACCACCCAATATTTGGACATCTATTTTCTTTTCTCTTTTTTTCCATCTTTTAATGCGAGCATCTACAACTACTAATTTATGATGTGTGGTTAAGTTATCATTTTTAACTGAAAATTCAAAAGACGTAGCTTTAAGGAAAATCTTACAGGTTTGAGTAACAAATGTTTATTGTTTAGTTGGAATTTTTTGTACATGTAAATTGAAAAAGAATGACTACTAATAATAACATAAACCTTAAGGTGCGTATGTTTCTCCATAAAATGGACATAAAACTTTTCAATCTAAAATATTTCGGCCACTATTTCCATCCCTTTCTGAAAACAAAATTTTCTACTCTTCTAATTTTCTTTTATGCAAATGACAAGGAAAACATAGTTTTCATTGTAAAAGGGGCAAAGATATAGCTCAAACATTTCAGCATGAAAAAATTTCCATCCATTCTATTTTGAAACAAATGGAGCCAAAGTTGTTTCAGCATGAAGTAATGAGAGCATTAAGAAGTGTATAGAAGAATGTTACAAGCAGGTTCTGTTGTGGAAAACATTTCATAGAAAACTTTAGGAAATATTGAAAATATTGAAAAGCATGCCTAAACTACATATCCTGTGCATAGTCAATAATCCTAGAATATTTGAACAGTCTGCAAAGATGAACCAGCATAAAAGTAAATAGTTAACGAGAAAGATGTGAATAATAGAAGTACTACATTTTAATGTGGGTAGACTTATCTCCACTTGGACTTTCCATTGAACATCTTCCTGTGTCCTCATCTTCAAAGCATATCACCATGTTCTCTTCATAAAAGAATTATGGGGGAAAACTGAGTTAGCATGATCATTTCTTTTCTTAATAAGCAATCAAAATCTTTTTACTAATGTATGAAATGATATGTATAGATATACAGGAAAAAACAACTAGCTCAAGTAGATTTACAGTATACTGCTTTCTACACCCAAAACATTCAACCAATTACAAACAAAATATCTGCAACTAAAGCATTTACTCATTCAGCGCAAAACCCTATGCAAAGGAAAGTTACCAATGTAAACGGACATACAAATCAATGCCCATTTCAATCTATCTCCTTGACTATTGCAAAAGAAAAAAAAAAAAAAAAACAGAAGATTCTGGGTACAGCTCATACAAAACTTAAAATATAGTGATAAAATATATCTGGCTACCTAGGAGTGCTAATAGGCTGGAAGATTCTTTGGCTAGAGAAGGGTTGAGGAGAGAAGTCTTAGATTAGGAGTGCCCAGGGCCAGGCTGTAATTTGTAATATTACTTTCTCTTTGTATTGTATGCCTGGATTTGGGGAGCTGCAATGTATGTATTATTGATGGCCTACTGCTAACCTTTGAGCAATTAGGTGGTTTTTTAATGAAATTTAATGTTAATTATCAAAAAATAAAATAAAATACACCATGTACAGTAATAAGGTACAACAAAGTCCAAAAACTCTCCTACTTTGTACCCCACCCCCCACCTCAAACGGATGTGGGTCAGTGTAGACAACATCAATTTGTTAACAAGAAACTCATGGTGTGTCCATGTGATTGCTTTTGTAAAGATATATGATAGCTAATAATTGGAAGCCACTTAAGGAAGAGTGATGACCTTTGATAGAACAAGGTCAGAAATAAAATGGCAATTCACCTTGTTGTTAGTTTTAAATTGTTTTTTCTTATTCATGTTGTTACAATGCTGTCAGCTTAGATTGCTGGCAGCATGTTCTTTTCTTTTGTTTAGGGTGTGCTGCCAGGGTGCCAGGGGCCTATTTGCAATTTCTTAGAATTGTTATAAAACTTTTAAATAAAAGGGAAGCTGGGTGCCGCCAGCTCCAATATTTTT